CTGCTGGGGATAGGGGGTAGTGATTTCTCACTTTCCCTCTCACTGTCTCTCTCCACTCCAGTGAGTACCCTCTGACAAAAACCTTAAAAAATATATATTTAGGGAACCAGCAGTTAGTGTAATGGCTATGTCGCTGGACTCCCACGTAGTCGACCACGGTTCGCGTCCCGGACCCGGTGGCTTAAAGCTCACGCCGGGCGCGTGTGCGTGCGTGCCCAAGATCCCGAGAGGAGAATGGAGGAGAAGGGATTGCGACATGACCATCCCCCCTGGGGGGTGATTTCTCGCTTTCTGTCTCTATGTCTCTCTCTGTCTGTCTGGCGAGGGCACGCGCCCTACAGTGAAAATCTCTCCAAAAAAAAATATATATATATATTTAAAGCCTGATTAACAACCTAGGGGTCTCACCCTTTCTTTCATAGAAAAACCTTCAGATTAAACAAAATACATATATACATACATACATATGTGTGTATATATATACATATGTGTGTGTGTGTGTATATATTTATAGGGCTGGGTCCATGGAAAAGACCAGTCCTTCTCCCCTGAAAACATGCCAAGCACACACACAATTGCCCAAACTCCTGCAGGTTGGAGGACGGGGACCATGGAGTATCAGACCCTGTGAGGGTGACTGGTCACTTTCAATCTCTCTCATGCATGAGCTCTATCATGAATAAAGAAAAAGATCTTTAAAATCTTTAGAAAAAGATACACACTACCTTCTGCAGTTAGATCATAATTTGCCACTTTTTCTTCTTTTGAACATTGATATTAAAGACAGAGTTTGATTAAAAAAAAATCTATGCTGATAAATAGCTTTGCCTACAGGTATTCACTCAGGATGATGTCTGAATTTGAGTCCCTTCTATGAATTTGTGACTTGTAATTCAGAGAGGGTCAAACAAACACATTTTGATGCATTCTTGGCCCCCAATGATTTTAAACAAAGAGAAACTCCTCGCAGGAGTCCCCTTGTCCAAAGTCACACCACCCTGGCTGATCCATAGGTTTGTCCTCTTCTTTAGAGGTTATCCTGCATGTACTGTGTAAACATTGATCTAAATAGTCTTGCTTAAATCTATTGTCCCTAATCAATACTCGTATATTTTTATATGCCTCTTAGGAACATCCTATGACTTATTTCTTTGTGTTGAATTTGCCCACAGGCAGCTTTCAGAGCTTTAAAGCTAACTCTGCAGCTGGTAGCTTCTCTCCACGACATCGTGGCCTACCTCTTCAGTTTTGCTAAACTTGGCAATTGTCCAGCACAGTTTGACTTTCCTCTAAGTCCCAACCCTTCCAGAAGTGACTGGGGAGGAGCCCAGAGCATTGGTAAGTGATTAAAGGTGATTAAAATCACCTTCAGGACCAGCAGGTGGCATGGTGGTTAAGGTGCTGGACTCCCACATGGCTGATCGCTGTGTAAGTCTGAGATCTTGTAGCACTTTCTCACCTTCTCTCTCTTTCTGGTGAGTGCAAGTACCCTGTAGCAAATTTTAAAATAATAATAATGATAAATAAAATTAAATAAATAATTATTTTCAAAAATCACCTTCAATATGCAGATACCATTTCTATGAAGCTCTTAATACTTGGTAAGACAGAACCACAATGTTTCCTTAGAAATAACAATGATGAGAAGGGAAAAGGAAAAATCCTATTACATGCACTTTCTAAACTGCATACTTATCTGATTGATTCCACATTTACTGGAAAGCTCGAAGTGCACCAAGTCAGGAAGCCTGGGTTTCTACCTTGCCTCTGCCGCTTGGTTACTGGAACTGGGCACTTTACTCTCTGGGTTACTGTTTGCATTTATGAAATGTAGATGATCATACCTTCTTGTAGGAAGATTCCGTGCACTGAAATCTACATGAAAATTCTAGAAGAATGCATAAGCCCTCACTAAATATCAGTTTTCTTTCATTTTCTTTTCCATTCTGGCCTTTGAGAATTCACATGGTAAGGTCAGAGTCAAGCACTCACTGTAAAGAAGCTTGCAGACAGCCCTAGTTAGCTAACAACCTCCGATTGTCCAGCCGTAGGGATAATTGAGACATTAGTTTTATATACCCAGGGCTAATCAGTGAACTGCAATTTAGCACCAGGTTTTAAGATAAACACATGAAAGAAATTAAAGACACTGAAACTTTAGTAAGCTAAGTTTATCAGAAACAAGATAGTGGATCTTATTTTAATGGTTTGACTCATGGGCCAGCTTTGAGGCCTGGTGGTTCAGGCAGCCAGATCCCACATGGCTGACCATGCAGTTCAAGTCCTGGACCCACTGACTGACTTGAGAAACATATCAGGTATGTGTGTAGCCAAAATCCCCAGAGGGGGTAGAGATGGAGGAGAAGAGCTTGCTGCATGACCATTCCTCATGGGGGGTGCTTTCTGCTCTTCCTGCCTCTCCATTTCTCTGTCTCTCTATGGCAAGGACATGCACTTTTTACCAATAATAATAATAATTTGTCTTCCATTCAAATTATGTCACTAGTCATGTAAATATTAATTCATAGCAAAATATTATATTTTGCCAGGAATTTCAAAGAATGAGAAGAGACTAAGAAATGAAGTACTAGGCTTATCTAAAGCTAGTGGTCTTTAAAAAATAAATGTGGCAGGACCTGAAACTACTCCTCTCTGGCCAGTACATAAAGGAACATGTTGCCGGTGACCTGGAGTTGGTAGCAGGCATATTTGCATTATGCTAAGGAACACAGAAGGAACCTGTCCCTGTCCAGATGAGCCGCAGGGCAGGGCAGCGGTGGTCATCTGGGAGGAAGGTGATACCTGCACCTGCAGAGGCAGCTGACAAGGGGCTGGTACCACCTCAACAGAAAGCCCAGAACTGTTGCAGACTAAGCTCAGATCTTTAAGCATCAAAAGACTAGAAAGGTCCCAAAGCACTCCAAGAGGTGTTCCTTTCACTCATTTAGGGATAAATGTAAGTGGGGCTCTAAGACACTCTTAGGGGAGCTAGTGGGTGTTGGGAAGATAGGGGGGCTGGGTTTCTCACAAGGGACAGACAGGAAAAAGGAGGCCATGCCAAGAAAAGTGCCTCCCTGCCCTTGAGATAAGAAGGCAGGTGTTATAAGAAGATAAGATAGTACCCGAGGCCCAGCCTGGGTGGTGCTGTCCCTAGACTGCTGGATTGCAATTCCGGAAGCCATGCGCCAACCGAGGGTTTGGATCCCCGTGTCAGTCTGAGAGTGTATTGGGAAGAAGCAGCCAAGGGCCCGAGGAGCTAGGAGGCCGGGAGAAGAGGGCACAGTAATGAGACTCTGCACAGGGCACGCCTCTCTCTCACTCTCAAGCGCACGTTCTCTATCATCAAAGCAGAGCGAGAAAGCACGAGAGCTGAGTCGTATTTCTAACAGTCACTACAGTTGGGAGTAAAGCACGCCCCTGGGCAAATCTGCTAGCCGGTGAGTGGGGGCACTTGCCCAGACCTAGGGAGCGGAGGACTTGAGTCAGTGGAGGGAATGTGAGAGATGGTTCTGGCGAGACAAAAAAAAAAAAAAAAAGCTGGTAAAGGTGGCAAGCAGGACTGTATGTGACCAGCTCTGAGAAATAAGCACACAACCACCACCATCCCCACCCCGGTGTGGCACTGAAGCACACAGCAGAGGAGGCCAGGTTGAAGACCCAGCATTCACAGCGAAGGAAAATGGCTTCTGGGTATTCACAGCCTGGGAACCCAGACACCGTTGCGAGCCCAGGCTTTCACAGGTGAACAATTAGAGGTGGGGACTTCGTCACATTTCAAGAAAAAATATTTGTGCTCCAGGGAGAATGTGCAGTTTTACATGCTCTGTTTTGCTGAAAATGGATCAAGAGCAAAATGAACTAAAAAGAAAAGAAAAAAAAAATCCCACTGTAAGATAATCATCTTTTTAAAGTCTAAGCTGCTTAGTTTTTGGCCTGCTTCCCAGAGGAGGCAGGGAAAAACTAAAGGGGAAAGATGACACTAGAGCCCGTTCCTCTGAGCCATCTCAGAGCTATTTGGAGTTAGATAAAATGACTCTTGTGGACTTAGATGCTTTCAACTATTTCTTTTTCTTTTTATGGAGAGGTTTTTTTTTTGCTATAGGGTGTGTGCGCTCACCAGAAAGACAGAGAGGGACAGAGAGGCAGAAAGCGAGAAATCACCCCCCAGGGGGATGACCACACCACAATCCCTTCTCCTCCATTCTCCTCTCGGGATCTTGGGCACGCACGCACACACGCCCGGCGTGAGTTCAAGTCACTGGGTCCAGGACTTGAACCTCAGTTGACTATGTGAGAGTCCAGCGACATAGCCATTACGCTAACTGCTGGTCTCTGCTTTCAACTATTTTTGAAAGGGATTCTCAAGATTTCAGCTTTTGATCTTCCCAGGTTTTGGTCCTCCCACTCAAGTGAGGGAGGAGCTCTTCGACACCGTGGGCCAGCTCTGTGGTCCCTGCCAGCTCCTCCTCTTCCCTGAAAGCCGGTAACTGTGGAGTCAGCCTGAAGCAGAGGATGTAATTAGAATGTGGGAGTTGACATTGCGATTTCCTTGTCAAGGACTGGAAGTCACTAAAGCCCAAACACTAAACACTGAGCTCAGGGTTTCAGGAACTGTCAAGACAAACCAGGGACAGTGTGCTGACTCTGGAGTCTTCACACAGAGACAGGGTCTCTGTACTTCCTCTCCCACCCTCCACCCCCAACCTCCCAAACAAGGTCCTCCTGGGTAAAGAACAGGCTCCTTTCCTGATGTTCCTGGCCCAGGGTCCACCCCCAAACTTCCCCCCACCCAACACCACCATCATCCTGTCACCATTGCCACTCCACTGCCTGGCGAACATCTGCCCCGACCCACCACATCTGCCGCCTCCCCTGCCACCAAGCATGATGACCCCACAAAGAAAGGAGAGCTAGAATGAGGATTAACAAAAGAAGGCCTCACAACACAGAACATTTTTTTTTCTTTATTTCTTTTTTTTTTCTATTTTATTCATTTTTTTAGAGTTTTTTTTTTCCTGTAGGGGGCGTGTACTCACCAGAGAGACAGAGACAGAAAGCAAGAAATCACCCCCAGGGGGGATGGCCACGCTGCAATCCTTTCTCCTCCATTCTCCTCTCGGGATCTTGGGCATGCATGCACATGCGCCCGGTATGAGTTTAAGCCACCAAGTCTGGGACTGGAACCATGGTTGACTACATGGGAGTCCAGTCACATAGCCATTACACTAATGGCTGGTCCCACATGTAACATTTTTGCTAGGGAGTAATCTCATACAAAAGTACACAAATAGCCCTATATAAACAATTGAAACGGTGACAAGAGAAAAATCACCTATACTCCAACCACTATATCAAGTGAAATTATTTTTAATCTTTACTGTCTTCTTTTTTTAAAAAATAATTATTTATTTTATTTTATTTATTCATTCATTTTATTTCAATTTGACCAGAGAGAGACACAAACAGAGAGAGAGAAAGAGGGAAAGTGAAAAAGGAAACCACCAAGTCCAGGACTCAAACCCTGGCTGACCATGTGGGAGTGTCTAGTGCCTTAACCACAACGCCACCTGCTGGTCCCAATCTTTAGTGCCTTCTAGCCCTTGCTCAAATATGTTTTATATTTAGATTTGACAAAGCTTTAACATTAGGATTTGTGGAAGGTTATAGTCTCCCTTTTTCATTGTCAGTGCAGAAATGATCAACATTCTCTCCCCATTGCTCCTCACCCTTGTAGAGTACATAGCTTGTAGACCAAACACATGAGGCTCAGCCACCACTTCCCTTCTCTCCTACCACCGTGAAAGTGGTGGTACAATTCACACTAACATGATGTCTGGTGGGCTCTTCTTTTCATTTTTTAAAAAAATTTTATTTATTCCATACGTGAGAGAAAGAGAAGAGATTTAGCACCACTAACAGGGTCTTGACACCACAATCTGCCTCCAGCTTCAGCCAGCCCAAATCTTGGGCACATGTGTGCTTGGCATTTTCAGGGGTGTCTCTGGATGTGAACTGTAGCCTTCCCAGGCAAGTCTGCTCACTGAGCCACACTGTCCAGCCCCGGGTGGGCTCTTCTTTTAAGACCATGTGATCAACATATTTAGAGGAGTCAGAGAAGTTCAAAGGTTGAACCCAATTATTTGGGACTGAAAACAAACAAAAAAAATGTTTTACTGTGGTGTATAAAACGTCAAACGGATATGAAATCAGGATTGCTCGCCTTTCCTAAAGCCAAGAGAGTATATTGCAAGTGTGGGCAACAATTCCCAGCCCCGGGCCTGCTCTGGTCAACCCATCACAGACAGCCTCTCCACACCCACAGTTAAGTCTGGGCCGGCTGTCAGAACAACTCCAGAATTGCCCCATGGGTCTCCCGTCTCATTTCTGCCTTGAGCTATATATATCGAGGCATAACGATCAATATCTGCCTGTACAGAGTAGAAAACTCTCATGGTCTTCACAGGGCCTTGATGAACACTTCAGGCCAGTTGGTGTAAGCATGGGCCCATATGTAACCCCAAGAATTCACGATTTTCTGCTGTGCTCTCCTGTTCTGACTAGTTCCTTCTCTGTGCCAATAACAGAGATGCTAGACCAGTCATCTAGACGTAGGCCAAGTTCCTCAACCTGGCACTGAGTACCCCAGAAGACTACTAATTTAAATGTCCACCTATAGTGTATATAAATCTATGTATAACCAGCCTACTCTGCAGTAAGGGTCCAAGACTTAAGCCAAGTAGGAATCACCCATATCTGCACCTAAAATGACTAGACTCTTCTAGAAAGAAATGCATATAAACATATACATGCACATACACATTTTTTTTACTTGCTTTGGGTGGTCTTGCATCTTTTTAAATTCATGGGCCAGTGAGAGGAAGGGCTGATTTGGTTGGCATGGCCGTGAGAAGTAAATGCTGATTTCTAATCTATAATAAGTTCAAATTCCTAATGGGTTTACTGAGGACTGTGCTTTCTCTTTCCTTGTCATTTCTCTTTTCTGTTCTATTTAGAGACCGTAGCCTTGTAAATTGAAAAATTTTCTCTCACCAGTATGTTCCTATTGAACATACTGAAAAGCACAGCAAGTTTTTATCTTTTTCAGGGAGGGAGGAAGGAAGGAGAGATAAATCAGGCCTTGGGTTCTAATGCAAAGCTTTGCTGGTCTTGTAAAACATGGAATTGGTATGCCCACAAAGAAAGAAAGGGTAGATTGTTTAAGTGACAAGTTAGCTTTGGGAACAAAATGATGGCTCACTAGATTTGTCTTAGTCACCTCTGTCTCACACTGTCTGACTAGAATCTTACCCTATTCTAGGGTCTGAACTTCGAGAGCTGCAGAAAATGATTGACAGCCTCCAGAACCCCCAAGACCCTATTCAGGTGGCCCAGGCACTCCTCCTCAGGAGGGAGGTGATGTTTCTGCAGTTTGATGCCGCCATGAGGCACCTCATCCGGTAAGGGCTGGAGCACTCAACCTGTCTGGTAAATTCCACTGGGCAGGTGTTTGCTGAGTGACCATCTGGGGAGGCCGTTCTTGGCAAGATTAAATGATGAGCTTAAAATAGAGATACAATCAGTTCTAGAATGCTGTGGCTACCAAACACGTCCTGCTCCAAGGGCTCCTGTGTGGAACCTATTCCTGTTGGATAATAACATCCTTGACTTTATTAAATGTTATTTCAAAGTCGTTCACAAAACAATCGCTGCTTTTAGTGTCCAGGTTGTTTTGTTCTAACACCTTTATACATTTGCAGATGATTATTTCCAAGGTTTTTGTTTATTTATTTTTTCAACCCTTGTTTCCCTTTCAGAAGGATAGTATTTTTACTACACTTCTGAAGCTGGTGGAACTGGCCACGGGGGTTAAATTTATAAATAAATCAATCTACTTCTGGCCTTGTAGGTATTGCAGTTTTGAGTACTCTGCATATAAAAAGAATGCTTTGTTTGGCTGATTAATCATGACTCTGAGGGGAAAATTAATATGGATTAAGATAAACAACATTGGAGACAGCAGGTGGTGTGGAAGTTAAGGCTCTGGATTTCCACATGGCCAACCACAGTTTGAGTCCCAGACCCAGTGACTTGAAAATCACACCATGGATGCATGCGTGCATGCCCAAAATCTGGAGTAGAGAATGGAGGAGAAGGGATTGCAGCATAACCGTCCCCTCAGGAGATGACTTCTCACTTTCGCCTCCCCCCACCCACCCCCAGAGAGCACACATGCCCTATGGCAAAAATCTAGGGGGGAAAATGACTGTGGGTATTCCCAGAGAATGCAAATGTGTGATAGCACTGAACCACGTTTTTCTCTTTCCGCTCTATTTTCTTTACTCTGACCACAGGGGTCTTGGACTTAGAATGTAAGTTTAGCAGGACAAATATACTAGGCTAATTTGTTTTCTTTTCATTGACAAATAGCTTCTCGAGCTGTAGCTTAGTCAAGCAGGTAAGAGGTAAATGGTCTAATTGTCAGGAGAGCCATTATCAGCACTCTGGGCTCTGAAAGTCCCAAGTCAGAATCTATAAGGAATTTCCATGTGGTGAAGAAGTAGGAGTAGCCTCCATAAATGCTTTGCAGTATTCTGGCTATACAGGGTTTAATTTGGTATTCTTTTCCCAAGGGAGCCCCTCTGTTTCCCCCTGGGGTTGTCCTGCACATTCAGTCCAGGAATGTCCTATCTCTGGTTGCAGTACATACATGTATTTCTTTCTTTACTCATAATAGAGCATATGTGGGCACGTGTGAGAGTGAGTGGTGGGGAGCACCCTCCTCAGGGTCTGCTCATGCCCCAATCCTTCCTCCAGATGATCCGGGATACCAGTGCCTGTCATGTTCAGGCTGACCGAGTCAGAGATTAGAACCAGGGTTGCTGTGTGGGATCCAGCTTCTTTTGAGCAGCGCTTTGCTGCTGAGCCACTGAGACAGCCCATGATTTCTGTGTTATTAGAGGACTTCCAGGGGAATCATCTACAAAGTCCACCCCAGGAGCCCTGCATTCATTGCTTTTCCTGGGCTTTTTTTTTTATTTCCCTTTTCCTTTTTTTTTTTGGTTGTTGTTGTTGGAGCATTTCAGTTATGTGTGTTTGAAGTCACACAGCTAGAAAGTGACAGAGAACAATTAGAGGCCAGGTGTATTTCAACTCCTAAGCCTGCAAACCATAATGGAAATGGACCAGCAGCAGGGATGAAAAAGGGAGTTCTGAACAGAAAGCCAGAGGCAGGAGAAAAAGAGAAGCTGAAAGATAAATGCCATCCCTCTTGATCATTTTACTTAGTACAGAAGCTGCAAATGAGAGCTTTCCAACTCAGGCCGGGCGGAATGACTCCCACAAAGAAGGGTGGCGAGAAGGAGGGTCGTTTCGCCATCAATGAAGTGGTGACCCGTGAATGCACCATCAACATTCTCAAGCACATCCATGGCCTGGGCTTCAAGAAACGTGCCCCTTGGGCACTCAAAGAAATCCGGAAATTTGCCATGAAAGAGATGGGGACTCCAGATGTGCACATTGATACCAGGCTCAACAAAGCTGTCTGGAGCAAAGAAATAAGGAACATTCTGTATCATATTGGTTGTCCAGAAAGCATAACGAGGATGAAGATTCACCCAACAAACTCTACACTCTGTTACCACTTAAAAAAAATCTCAACGTGGAGAGAAACAGTCAATGTGGATGAGAACGAAGGATGAGAATGAACTGCTGGTTTTCAAATAAAGTTATAAAACCAAAATAAAATAAAAGAAAGAAAGAAGCTACAAATGAGGGAAAGTCCCTAGGTAATCAAGAAAGGCAGGAAGATCAGGGAAGTTCCCTGGCCCTTCCCAGAGCACACCAAGACTGAGCAAATAGGACAATTTAGACCTCAGGGCACTCTTTGCTTATGCAAACGGAAGGCCTCTCCAGCGTTTGAAAAGGCAGAGCTAAACTCTTCCGTGAAATGACAGCAGCATGCTCCCCTCAACTGGAGGAGGGGATGCCCCATGTGGCTCAAGGACATCAGGACAATAGCCCCATAGGATGTCCTAAAGCCTAACTCCCATTTTTCTGTGCCATGACTAGGCTCAGGTCATCTGAAAGGCACATGTTTGGGGCACAGAACTTATTGCTCTACTCCTGTCCTGTCTCCCACCAGCTCAGGTGAGGGCCTGATGGAAACTGATCTATCCTTGGATGGGCTGGAGTTGCACTGCTCAGGGCCTGTCATTAACCTCTATGCATGCCCACCTACCTGCTGCAGTTACTTATTAACCTGTACAAGTAATGCTTGAGCATTGAGTTTATCTTGAAAGCCAGGGGAATTAATCATCTGTGTTGAAGGTAAGTGCCAGCAGGGAGTGTCAAAATGCCAACACAGTTCTAATCAACACAGTTCCTATCAATCTTATTGATAGGGCACATGTGTACCCATGATCCAGAGTGGATCCCAGCATCAAGGTCTTGAGTATGGGGGGAATCAGCAGATGGCGTAATGGTTATGTCACTGGACTCCCACATAGTTGACTGTGGTTCAAGTCCCAGACCCGGTGGCTTAAAACTCATGGCAGGCGAGTGTGCGTGTGTGCCTAAAATCCCAAGAGGAGAATGGAGGTGAAGGAATTACTGCATGGCCATCCCCTCTGGGGGGTGATTTCTCGCTTTCTGTCTCTCTGTCTCCCTCTACCTCTCCAGCAAGCACACATACCCTATAGCAAAAAATCTCTCCTAAAAAAAAAATCTTGTTGGAACTACTCTCTCTGTCTGTCTGTCTCTTAGTGGATGGTGAACTGGGCTGCGTGATGTGAAATACTGGGTTCTTTGGGCCCAGGCCTCTAAGATTAAGTACCCTCCCTGAGATGAGAATGAAACCACAATTACAAGTATGGGAAAAAGTGTTTTTAATAGGAAAGTAAAGTTTTTAATACAGACACAAAAATACAACCCACCCCAGAAAGATATGTAGGTGGGCAGCTGTCTGAGGACAGCTGTGCTCGGAATGGGATTAGATGTTAATTTTATTATGGGATCATGTCATGAATATTTAGGAGGGAGGTCTGTCATTGTAGCTGGCTCCTTTGAATTCACAGGCTTTTTGTGGTACCTGCACAACGCATGCTCAGTGTGGACTTTGAAGGGCTGCGTATGCGCATGAAGATAATTCTGCCCACATCAGTTTTTTTGTTTGTTTGTTTGTTTTTGTTTTTGTTTTTGTTTTGCCAGGAGTGGGAAGTAGGATGTTATGAAGCATCCCAGTGAATCCCTGCATACTTATATACAATGCAGGAAGGAAGGTAGTAACTTTCCCTAAGTTTTCTGAGGAAAGCTTAGGTAACAAAAGTAGAGGACCTTTCCTCTCTTGGCTCCTGGGGGGCCACGTGCAATCCCTGAGAACAGTGATTGATGTATCAGTTGTCCCCTTTGTTGGCATATTGAGACTCCCTGCTCATAATGTTTACCTGTAACATGTCTCTCTCTTTTTTATTAATTGAAAAAAATAAATGAATGAATTTTTTTGCATTCTGGAAAGGAAGGAAAGAAGAAAGAAAGGAAGATCAGCTTTTTAGGTCTTGAATATTTGTTAGCTTTCCTTTCATTTTTGAGGTTATTTTCACACTCATCTACTTAAGTGTCTCTACCATGCAGATAGTAAAGTGTGCTTCAGGGTTACTTGGGGCGTTCTGGGAGGCACCCAGAAGGCTTCATGTGAGCTGGGCCTACCTCCTGATCTCCCTGTTCTCTAGTATCTAAACAGTGAAGAGCCCTAGTTTCTGCTGGTCTCCTTAAGGCCACTTTGTAGATTGTATTATATCCTTCCCTCCAGGAAAAACTGTTGCAGGTGTCCAGGGAGCTCCCTGTGGTTTGACCCAGTGAGCCTGATCTCATGTAGCTGATAGCACCCTGACTCATGAGGCCTGCTAGTAACCCTTTGACTGCTATTGACAAGAAGGCAGCCGGAGCATGGCAGGAACAGTGTGAACAGTGTGAAGAATTCAGGTATTGTCCAGCTGGTTCCATGGCCTGCCTGGTGGTTAAGGTAGCTGGATCCCACATGGCCAACTGCATGATTCAAGTCTCAGACCCTGTATCTTGAGAAACACACTTAGGCAGATGCGCGTGCATGCCCACAATCTGAAAGGGAGGGAGAAAAGTAGGAGAAAGGACTGCAGTGCGACCATTCTCATAGGAGGTGCTTTCTCCTCTCCCTCTCTAGCCAGCACACATATCCTCTAGCCCCACCCCACCCCACCCCCCAAAAAAGTATTTCCTTGCTTGCTAAACTCTTAGTTCCTTTTGGGCAAGAAAATCATCCTGATTTATCATGCATACTTCCTTCTTTCTGACTTACATTATAAATTTCATGCTCTGGTCTTCAGGGATTGTGGTTCTTGATACGCAAAGCCAAGTTTTGTGTCCAAGAAAATAAAATCTATTCTCACTCAACACCTCCCCCCTCAGGCTTTCATTGTTTAATTTAAAATGTGGTTTCACATATCAAGAACTGTTTGTCTCAGCTATTGGTCTTAAAATAATAAATTCAACAACCAACTGAAACTTTTTTTTTTTTTTTTTTTTTTTTTTAGAGTTCCCGTGTACCCACGTGGGGTTTTTTCACGGAAAAAAAAAACATGAGATAAAATAAAAAACTCAACCCCTCAGTCACGGTAGTCACAGTTCATGTGTCCAACAGCCACATGTGACCAGTGACTACCATACTGGACAGTGCTAATCCAGAACATTCTCTCCATTGCAGAACATTCTATCAGATAGTGCTAGTCTGGAATAAATCAACTTTCACTTGAGGGCTGTGAGTTGGGAGAGCGAAGGGCAGGGTGTAAAGAAAGAAAGTGGGGAATGACATCGTTGAAGAAGAAACGGATTAATATCTCGAAATATTATCTTGTGACCCTAACTTTGAAGAAAGTTGTGAACTTGGGAAGCTTGATGAACTGCTTTTAATGAAATGTCCCCTTTTGTTTTGGTAGAAGAACATTTCTGGCAGCTGGAAATGTCCCTGCCTACCAGTCTGTCACAGACGGCATGCACCATGGGCTGCCACCACTGAGCAACTCGCTTACTAAGAGCATTTTTGCCTCACAGCTCAGCCTGCCCCCACCACTGGATCCACGGAGCCTCCAGGTGTGTTGGGGAGGTATTTTTCTTTATATTGTAGGTGTGTTGGGTGTAGAGGGTTTTATTACTTTGTTTCCATGCAATTTACATCTTACTGGGGCTCTCAATGCTTTAATGTCCTTCAGTTTTGCTTTTGTTTTTGTTTTTGGTATAAGGAACGTGAGCTTGCCAGAAACACGGAGACAGAGAGAGAGTGAGAAATCACCCCAAGAGGGGATGGCCATGCCACAATCCCTTTTCTTCTGTTCTCCTCTTGGGAATTTTGTGCATGCACATACATGTGCCTGGCATGAGTTTCAAGTCCAGGACTTGAACTATGCTCAGCCACATGGGAGTCCAGTGCCTTAACCTCTACACCACCTGCTGGCCCCAATCCTTTGGTCTTCATAGGCCCCCATTCCCAGATGTTACTGCCAGTCTGGTCTTTGCCTTCCAATACTCAACAGGCTGATGGGGCAACAGCTTGTCTGCTCACAGCTGGTAGCAAGGCAAGCATATATTCTGTATTTAACAAATAATAATGGTAGTAATTACAATACATAAATTAGGTCAGCTGCTGAGTTGAGAGACTTGGTTACAACACATGTTAGCATATGTAATCCTGGCAACTACTCTTACTCCTCAGCAGAAACAATATGAGTAGAGACTTCCAAAAGTTTGTGGACAAATGAAATGACAGAACCAGTTTATCCTGGTTCAAAAAATTTTTGAACTCCATACATAGTTCTAATGTGCATTTTCCATGAGCTTTTTGAAGTTCATATTACCTACCGCCTACGATTAAAGAGTTCAAGGTTCAAAACGCCAGAGAGCAGACTCTTGGAAAGTCATGGCAGCATCAGATCACCAACTGCATTATTGGATCGTTGGAAAAGTCATGACACATTTTTGCATAGAAAAACAGAAAGAAGGGGACCAGCAATTAGCGTAATGGCTATGTCGCTGGACTCCCACGTGGTCGACTGCATTTTGCGTCCCGGACCCGGTGGCTTAAACTCATGCCAGGCGTGTGTGCGTGCGTGCCCAAGATCCTGAGAGGAGAATAGAGGAGAAGGGATTGTGGCGTGACCATCCCCCTGGGGGGCAATTTCTCGCTTTCTATCTCTTGGTCTCTCTCTGTCTGTCTGGCAAGCGCACATGCCCTATAGCAAAAACCTCTCCGAAAAAAATAAAGAAAAACAGAAAAAAGAGACCAGAAGATGGCATAATGCTTACATCACTGCACTCCCACATAGTCAACCACAGTTCGAGTCCTGGACCCAGCGGCTTAAAACTCACACCAGGCACATGTACGTACGTGCCCAAAATCCCAAGAGGAGAATGGAGGAGAAGGGATTGTGGCATGGCCATCCCCCCTGGGGGGCGGTTCTTGCTTTCTGTCTTTCTGGCAAGCACACACATCTTATAACTTATAACAAAAATCTCTCTAAAAAGTAAACAAATAAAAAAACAAGAAGAAGAATATGTCATGATTTTTCCAACGATCCAATGATAAATTACCCCCATGTTTACCAGGCTAAAACAATAAACACCCATCACCTCACATGCTTTCTGAGGTTCGGGATTCTGGGAGCAGGGGGTAGCTCTGGTTCAGGGTCTCCTCATGAGGCTATAGTCACGATATTGTCCAGGGCTGTAGTCATCTTGGGGCTCAACTGAAGAAGAGTCTGCTTCCGAGTTCACTCATAGCTGTTGGTAGACATCAGACACTCACTTCTCAGCTCATTCTTATGAGCTTCTCTGAGGAGCTTCCTCACAACATGACAGATGGTTTCCCTAAGGGCAAACTATCTAAGGGAGAGCAAGAGAGCCCAGATGGAATTATAGTCTCTTCATTGCCTAATTTCAGAAGTAACATACCATTGCTTCTGCCATAGTCTGTTCACTAGAAATGAGTCACTAAGTCCAGCCCACACACAAGGGGTGGAGAAGTAAGCTCCACTTATTGATGGGAAAAGGATCAAAGAATTTGTGGACATATCTTTAAAACTACCAGACAAGCTCATGTCTTCCAGTTCTAAAATACCCAACTTAACATGTTATAAAGTTAAACCAAGGAGCCGGCAGGTGGCCTGGTGGTTAAAGGCACTGGAATCCCACATAGTCAACTGCAGTTCAAGTACTAGACCTGGCGACTTGCTTTGCTCTCCCTTTCTCTCCCTCTCTCTGTTTCTTTTTAGTCAAATTAAAAAAAAAAAAAAGATAACAAATGGAATTAATAAATAAATAATTCTTTTAAAAAACAAAGCTAAGCCAAATGGCACCAGTATCAACCTCGAGCAAGTGCCGTATGGCTACCTTCTGTAGCTACAACACAGTGACTTTGGTCCAAGCCCTGACCCTCATTTAGACCCAGAAACAGGAGGACCATGTGGGTGGGCTGACTTTGAATGCCTCTGGCATTGTCTAGGATTAGGTACATGCAGATGTCCTGGCTCCCTGCCATCATAATCCACTCCAAATCCAGAATTGACAACAGTGGAACCAGATCTAGAAGTATAGATTAGGGTTAGATAGGCCAGTCCACTGGATCCTGGGCTGTATGTGGTGCCACAGGGACAGGAATGGCGTAGCTGTCGGGTAGTGTTACGGTGAAGACAGAAACCTGTGTGCAATAAATTGTGGCATTGGTCTTGAATCGTTCCTTAGAGATTGGAGCACAACAGTGTAAAGGATGGTTTTTTAAAGTTCGTGATATTGAGAGTGTTGAGTAAGTTCACTTACGTTGATTACATATGTCTCTCTGGTATTCTAAGGTCCTGGAGTTTCTGAACATTGACACCAATTAGTTGCACCCAAACCTTAAGTACCCTTCTACTGGGTTGTGGGAAAAGTCATCACATATTTTTCTATGCCAAAATGCGTCATGACTTTTCCAATAACCCAATATATTTTGCTATCTTTGGGGGAAATTAAAGAGATTATTACTCTCCCCTCTATATCATTAGGGGCAATTTGTCAAGCAGTATTACTACATATTTAATAAAGCATACAATAGTATGTGGGGTGCAGACACAGATAATCCTATTTATATGCAGATTGTTACTACTTTTGGAAACAGTATAACAGTATCGTGTTTGTTGCTCCCTTTAGGCATTTGCGCTGTTCCCTTGGAGAGCATTTCTGGAAGATGGAGGACTGTTTCCAGTTATAAGTAGCAGCCCAGATACCCTAGAATATAATATGCAGGTAGGATGGGCCTTCTCGCTTGTTGGGAGAGGACTGAATTCAGACCGCAAAGCAGGGTGTCACCGGGTCCACAGGTCGGATTCTCCAGACTCTAGCCAGTGATGAATAATGTACACGATAAGCAACTGTTTGATTTTAAAGCTGTAAACCTGATGCTACAAGGTGAGTCACGCCTTCCTATGACAGAAAAGAATCATGGACTCAGCTGGCTTCAGCCTTGGTTGCAGACTCGGCTGAAGTCCCTACGGCAATAATGATTTAGGAGAGCAGCTATCCCTCTGCAACCACCATGTGGGCTCCTTCGAGCAGTGGGCAGCTCCAGGCATGGGACTCCTGACCTGCCTGCAGTGGCATGAGGGGATTTTTTTAAAGAATTATTTGTTTTAATTAATAAACAAATCATCTCTTTCTCTCTCATCAGATGAGAGAGAGAAAACGAGAAAGCAAGCTGCTGTGTGCACTGGGACACGAACAGCGGTTGGCCGTGTGGGAGTCCAGCACCTTCACCATGACAGCACCTCTGGCCCCAGGAGGGGACTTTTTAAAGCAGTACTCATAAGGAAAATTTCTTGTGATGTTTTTAGTTCTCGTTGTTACTTTTAATGTTTTCCCCTGATTATTCAATTATATATTGTTTTGTTTTGTTTCATATTTTTTTGCCATAGGATGCATGCATTTGCTAGAAAGAGACAGAGAGAGACAGAGAGAAAGTGAGAAATTACCCTCCAGAGGGTGTGAACATGCCTCAATCCCTTCTCCTCCATTCTCCTCTTGGGATTTTGGCCATGTACAAACATGAACCTGGCATATTTTTCAAGCTGTCAGGTCTGGGACTTGAATGGCACGGTTACCTATGTAGGCTCCCGCTCCTTAATGTCCAGGCCACCTGCTGGCCCCATATTGTTGAGTTTTTGTTTTGAAAAATAAAAAAATATAAAAAACACTGTTAAGAATAACATGAAAATCAACCAGAAATTTGCTTCAAAATAATACAGAGGAGCTCAGCTGTGGTGGTGCACATTGCTCAGATACTGCTACTTGAAGGGTGAAGCCACATGGGAGGCCTGGAATTGGTTCCTGGCCCAACCTACATGTGTGGGCACCATCATGCGGGCCTATGGTCCTCACTAGCTGGGAGACTGGGATACATGGATCACGGTGTGGCAGGTCTCATAAAAAATCTGTCTCTCTGGCTATCTACATCTCGCTCTCTCCCTTCCCTACTATTCATTCATAAATTAATGAATAATAATAATGAGGAGGAGGAGGTGGGAGTGGATAGAGTGGGGCAGGACTAGCCAGAGGTCAATGGTTGTCGAAGCTGGGTTATAGAAACTATTCTGTTTGCTATTGTATATGTCCAAGTTTGCCCATAAGTAAACATTATTTTTTAAGTAAAATAATAAGAATGGTTAGAAAAAATCAATTATGGGGACCAGCAGGTGGTGTGGTGGTTAAGGGGCTGGACACTCCCACATGGCTGACCACGATTTGAGTCCTGGACCTGGAGGCTTATTCTCTCTCTCTCTCTCTCTCTCTCTCTCTCTCTCTCTCTCTCTCTCTCTCTCTCTCTCTCTCTCTCTCTCTCTCTCTCTCTCTGTGTGTGTGTGTGTGTCTGGTCAAATTAAGATAAATGAATGAGTAAATAAAATTAAATAATTACTTTAAAAGAAAAGAAAAACTCAGCTGTAGTCCCACTACTAAGAGCTGATCACAGATCGCATTTGGTTTTCCCCCACATACATATATTTACATGTGCCCCTGAAGGGAAACCAACATCCTGCTGTACACTCACTGTTACAGAGACCCTCTGCTAGGGCTGGGACGCTTGGTCCTTCTAGGCAGAGTCGAAGTCTGGTGTGTTCGAGGACTCTAAGCTAGAAGTTTGCTTTAGTCGTCATGGAGTTTTTGAAAGTCGAGAGGGTCTTCTTCCCCAAAACCATATGTAAAGGATGCACTGAAGTCTGCAAAATGAGAGAGGGTTCTTGTGCTTCTTGGGTTTTCTCTTTTAGCTGTGCCTGTGTGGACTGAGTGACCGTGACCGTGAGAGGGCTCATGGAGAGTTGGTGGGCATGCGACTGCTAATGGAAGATGTCATTCTGAGCAGCTGCCACGTGATTGTGGACAGTCCCCCGGGACAACAAGCCACACCGGACAAAAACACGCAGGTATTCTTGGTGACCAGTCTACATAATCAGCCAGTGCTCATTTGTATGAAGGGCCTTCCTATCTGGAGAAGGATGAGAGGGCCACATCTTCCACGCAGCCTCTCCCTGGATCCCAGGCTGAGCTCAGGCCACATGAGCAATGGTAAAGCAGGAGTGGCCTGTGAAAACTACTCCAAAGTAGTTTATTTCACAGTAACTCCCATGACCAGTGGTATATTCACTGTTTCTAATCTTTAAAATAGAACAAAGGTTATTGGAAGTCCATGAAAGTCAAATGAAACAGATACTCCAACAGGAAACTTTCCTTGTGAGTTGCACATGTAGAACTAGAGTTAGAAGGGCCAGAGCAGTGTGATGGGGCCCAGGTAAACATCTCAGGCCTGGGCTCTTATCCTCCTTACTCAACTATGGATCCCTGAGCAGTCTTTCCTATGCAGTTTCCCCTCTGAAATGCTAAGGTACAAGAGGCACTAGCCTACCTTGTATCATAACCGAACTGTCCTGCATGTGTCTGAGAACCGGGCAGAGACATATTTGGACCCCAGGTAGGCTAGCAGGTGCCCTCATTTAGAGTCTCCAGAACCAAGCTTTTTCTTTTCTTTTCTTTTTCCTTTCCTTTCTTTTCTTTTCTTTTCCTTTCCTTTTCTTTTCTTTTCTTTTTTCTTTGAAGAGATTTTTGCTATAAGGTGCATGTGCTATTAACCAGAGAGAGAGAGAGACGGAGAGAGAGAAAGTGATAAATTTCCCCCCACCCCACCCCACAGAGGGATGGCTATGCTGTAGTCCCTTCTCCTGCATTCTCCTCTTGAGATTTTGGGCATGCATGCACATGTGCCTGGCGTGAGTTTCAAGCTGTCAGGTCCAGGATTCGAACCGCGGTTGGCTATCTGTGAGTCCAGCACCTTAACCACTATGCCACGTGCTGGCCCCAGAATCAAATTTTCTGAGAGTTGCCTAAACCCACCATCTCCATTCCCTTACTGCCCACTAATCCCTAAACACTGCACTCTGTCTCTTTATCTTACCACTGAAACTGCTCTCATGGCTCTTACACCATGGCCCTCCTCACTGAATCCCCTAGAGACTTTATAGTTTCCTTCCTAGCTGAACCCTTGGCAGCACTTGACATAGAGTGTCCTAGAAGCATCTCTGCTGTGGCTTCCACAGCACGACTCTCCCCTAGCTTTCCTCTGATGTCATTAGTCCATCCTCCTGACTGCTCTGCAGGGTCTTCTACCTCTGCCGATCTCTAAATGTTTTTTTTTCAAATTCTGTCCGACAAATGCTACCAAAGCCACATTTCGAAATCCTCAGGTCCTAACTCTTTTGTCTTTGGGGGCCTCTTGCTCCATTAAAAGAAAAAAAAAGAAAGTTATATTTTATGACAGTTTTAATATAAAAAATATACATTCACAGGACCAGCAGTTAGCATAATGGCTATGGCGCTGGACTCCCACGTAGTTGACCATGGTGTGCGTCCTGGACCCGGTGGCTTAAACTCATGCCGGGCGCGTGTGGGTGCGTGCCCAAGATCCCGAGAAGAGAATGGAGGAGAAAGGATTGCGGCATGGCCATCCCTCCTGGGGGGTGATTTCTCACTTTCTATCTCTCTATCTCTCTCTGTCTGGTGAGCGCACGCGCCATATAGCAAAATAAAAACCTCTCCAAAAAAAAAAAATATATATATATACATTCACATATTTAAGCATTTTTTTTGCTCTAAAAGTTTTCTTTTTCTTCAATCAACTCCAGATCATGAGCAAATATGGGCCCAGTGTACTTACGGAGGTCTCCAGGCTTGAATCAGGAACCTTCTCATCTGGTTCAGCCCTGTTTAATGTGTGTTTCACTGCTATGCCACCATCTGGTCTCTGTTTACTTATTTAAGGTTTTTTTAATGTATTTATTCCATGTGAGAGAGACAGAGGGCACCCCGACAGAGCTCTCACACCACTATCCACGCCCTGTCTCAGCCAGAACAGGTCACAGGCACTCACATGTGCACATGGCCTGCCAGAGAGGTCCTGGACTTGAACCCAGGACCTTGCCCAGGTAGATCCAGCGGCATCATCACTGCACCACCACCTGACCCACTAGGGGCTTCTTGAGCCAGATAGATAGTTACGTGACCTCTAGACTGCCCCCTCCATGTCAACAAGCTTGGCCTTGATCAGTTGGATATTTTGGTCCACTGCCTAACATTTCATTTGATGGAAGAGTTCTGAGGATCAAACAGACCTAGAAATCCATGGACTAGCTGGTTACTGAGGAGGCAGGCTACATTAGACATAATGGGAAGGAAGAAACTGAAGACAGAGGACAGGGTAGTTGACAGAGCAAAGCGTCCCTGAGGAGGAAGGAGAGGGTGGGATTCAGAACAGAGGAACAGGGTAAGGACAGGACTTAAACAGAGGAAGGGAATCCCTCTTCCATTTTAATAGGAAAACAAGTAGGGAGAGGATAGGTAGATCTCAGGGACTGCCAGTTACCCAATGGGACTCGCTCTTGTCCTGGGTCTTACTTGACAGTTCTTCCTTGGGCACTCTGACCAACCCTCTTTCTGGAAGACCTCTTTTCTTGAGGGATCCAGTTACACCAGGTTGTTCTTGTTTTCAGCCAGAAAATGTGTCTAACAAATTGTCCCCTGAATGTTGGCTGAGGCCCTTCTTGTCACAGCATTATGAGATACGCCATTCTTGCCTGCAAAGGAAGGTTCTTTTTCTTGTGAGCAAGACTCAGTAGCCAAGCTGAAGACCTGGACTCAGATTATCATTTAGTCTGTCACTTTCTAGGTGACCCTGGCCCTTATACCACTGGCTGCAGGAGAGCAGGGTCTGAATGCCTTCCCTCCATATCCTCCAGGACGTCTAGCAGCCCCTTGACAAATGCTTACTTAAGCAAAGCATCATGAATGTAAAATTGCATTTCAAATAATAAATTCTAATGATGAGAAATGTTCTCTGCCTAGCTTTCAAAAGATGAGAAAAGGAACAGGAGGTAGGATAAACTTAAATTTCTACTTCCTTACCCAGAAGATGGATAAAATTCCCAATGAAAAGTTATATTATAGCTCTACCATGAGGGGAACTTAATCCTCAAGGGTTGAAGAGCACCATCTAGAATGCAGAGCTAAACACAAAAGATTCAATTTTCTAAAGGCACTTAAAATATTAGTATGCAAGCAAGTTCTGAAAGTGAACCGTTCTAGAGCCAAACAGAAAGCTGAGTTCAAGGCATGTCTGTTCTTTGTCTGTACTGTTGTTCAGGAAAGACATTCAATCATCCTAACCTTGCATGTGCTATATGCCTGTAAGCCATTCCTACCAGGGAAAGAGTTCATTCATTGTCCAAAGATCATTTTCCACAGGCTACTTGAAAAAAGTTATGCTGTATTGGTCATGATTAATAAAGAAGCATTTTGATGTCTTCAGCTAGATTGGTTCAAAGTGCCAAGATTTGGAAGTCAGTTCCAAAGCAGCTGGAAGGCTTCTGAGCTGCTGGAGGGGCCACATGACACGGTGCTGTCTCTTGCTTTGCTGAGATCATTTTTCACACTGTGGAAGCAGCTGGAAGTGCTCAAGGAACACTGGGGCCGACTCAAGCTTCAAGGCCAGGACATCAACTCTGTATCCCTCTACAAACAGTTTTCGGAGCTCTATGAGTGAGTGTTGCTGAGGTAGAGATCCATGTCAGTGAGTGGAGCCTGGGAATTGGTCGATGCCCGCCCCTTGACTGGAGGGTGAGATGTCTCTCTGAATCCTGGCGCACACAACTCCACCGAGTCCCATGGGAGCCCTCAGCGTTCTCTACCACAGTGCTTACAAAGCACGATTGTAATAAGTAAGGCAGGGCTGGGTGTCACTGAGCTATGCTGTGCATCTCTTACCTGTCCGCAGAGTCTGTCCCTAGGAACCTCTGCTTATGAAGTGGTCCCACAGTGCTGATGCATGCTTCTCAGCTCATCAAGGACACTGTGGAGAGCCACTGTGGCTGAGCTCCTCACTCCCTTCAGACCGAAACTTTGAGGCTCTGAGAACTGAGGGCTTCACAGCCAGAGGTACACTACAACATGGCACAGGCTGTGTGAGGCCTGTGGGCTGCAGGAGGTGGGCATGCTGGAAGCTGCAGGAAAGCCTCACTGCTTCCTCATGTATCTGTTACCGAGCAGGCATTGACTAAGCTCCTACGTGCCACTTAGACCTGCTCAGGTTCCCCTTTGGCTAGTCCTGGGAAGTTATGATAGTCAATGTTCCTGGAAACTAGAAAATGGAAAGGTCAGTCAGTATTCTGAAGAATGAGGACCTTAATTCTATGTGCCCAATAGGAAAAGACCTCAGGATGTAATGTTGCAACTGCAGAGCTGATGTGTGTGTCTGTGAATGGGTTGGGGGAGTTTATACATGATGACAGGACACAGAACATGAATGAAAAGAACTACCAGAGAATTGGAATGAGGAACCAAATATGTCTGTTTGCTAATTTCTGTGTCTCTTTCTAACAGAGCTGACATTCTCTACCCCAGCCTGAAAGCTATCGCTAGGCAGATGGGGAAAGAAGATGAATTTGAAGAACATGTAATAAATAGTCAGTCTATTCTTCCCCCCAAGGGAGCTTCAGAAATTGAAATAAAAACACAGCAGGTATGAAGAAGCTGTTTTGAATGTTCCTTTGAAAACTTGTTTTATGGCATCAGCGTGTAAAACTACAGATATTCCCAAACAATGTTCTTTCCCAAGTGTAAATTGATGTTGTAACTCACTGAACCGGTTTGGGGGTGGGGTGGGGTGGGGGGAGGAATGAGTATTTAAAGGTATGTAGGGCTTTGATTACACAAATAACTACTCTTTAATGTCTCACTTCTAGCTTTTCATTATTTTTCTTCTCCTCATATTGAGCTGTATTTTCCCAAGAAAGATGATAGAAAACATAACTACTACTATCGCAAAGAAAATCTAGCACACAATTATCCACATGGAAATAGAAGATTTGAAATAGCTCTTTTAATTGTTCTTCTGAGAATACAAAAAAAATTCCACTTAGTCACTGGCCCACATGGCATGTTAGATGATCCAAGCAGAAAAGTTGTTTTCCTGTCTTTACTCAGCTTGGTCCTGGGATAGACACCCCGTGGCTGGGCTTATTGTAACAGGCAAGCAAAGCCTCTGGCTGGTTGTCATTGCAGAGTTGCATGTCCCCTGAGCAAGCGGAGAACTCAGCCCCTCGCGCTCCAGTGCCAAGCCCATTGCTTACCCTCTGGCTCCTCCTTGCTCAGGGGAAAAAGCGGACTCTGCAGACTCGCTGGGGCTACCAGTTACTGTAGCAATTGGTCTTAGTTGTATATGAACTTTCAAATCATCTCATGAAATTGTCCTTGGTATCAAGTTTCACATTTGAAGGCTTCTTAGGATGACAGCCCACAAAATTCCAGCCATATTTAGAGACCTCTTAGCAGGGAGCTTGGTAAGAAAGGTTGCATTTTATCAATCAGAATGAGAACCAGGAAGAAATTATGTTGGTCTCCATAAAAGTATATTTAACTCCCGGAAGCATCTGGGAGCTGAGAAGGGAACCTTTTCTTCCTCCCGGGGAGGGAGTAGCTGAGGGACAGAATCTAACCAAGTCCTTCTGCAGGAAGTTGACTTGGGAGCTCAGAATGAAAGCTGAATGGAGAGAGTGACTCTTGACCTGTGCTTACTCTAGCTTCAGAAACTTCTTGAAAATATTGAAATGCATATGATCCAGGAGGTATTGAGAAAAGTTAACAGAGAGATGACATTGCTCTTATCCGAAAAGTCCAGGGAGGACTGTACTCTCCCTACAGGTAAAGTACTACTTTGCAAGATACCATTTATCATTTTTTCCTAATCATACAAGGAATCCACATATCGTATCTGTACTCGTTATTAAAAACCAAAAACCAAAAACAAAAACAAGCAAACAAACAAAACACTGCAAGGTAATGCCTGGAAAATGATATAAAAATTACCTTTTATACCTTGACAGAGAGAAAAGTACTGTTAACACTTTGATGTATTTCCTTCCACTTACAAGGCTTTTAGGAAGAAAGCACACTTTAACTTTAATCTCAACTGTCTAGATTAACTCATAACTAAAATAAAGTTGAAATGAAAGAAATACAGGGGAAGTTAGGAGAACAGTGGGGGGAAAGCAATGCATTTAATTGACACAAAAATGAAAAGTTATTTGCTGATGATAATGTATATGGTAATGTCTTGGTCTTATTGATATGCACTGTATTCGTACTGGGAAAAACCATGTTGTGCCCTGTAAAGATGTACAGTGATTAATTGTAAAAAAATGAATATATATATGTAATATGCTTTAAATTACGGAAATATATAAATTCATAAAGCTTTTCATCTTTTTTTTTTTTATTTGAGAGGTTTTTGCTAGGCCACGTGTGCTCACCAGAAAGACGGAAAGAGACAGAAAGACAGAAAGCAAGAAATCACCCCCCGGGGGGGATGGCTACTCCGTAATCCCATCTCCTCCATTGTCCTCTCGGGATCTTTGAGCCAGTAGGGTTGTCTTAACTAGCAATATCTGCTTTTGAGACACAATCTACAGACATTGTAGTGTGGATTAGTAACCTCTGTCCTCTACCTAAGACACTGCCATTTTATCAGTGCTTGGAGTAGACGAATTCTGTCCACTGGGCTTCCGTAAGAGGCTGTGCAACGACGGGCCAGCCACGCCCCCGCTGGGCATCTTGTCACCAGAGCACGGAGTGTGGTTGAGCTCCAATTACAGAACATTTAACCAGACACAAAGCTCCTGTTGTTTGTGCAGTGTTCGCTCATTTGGGCGGCTCCCTCCTGAGTCCGTGGAGAACTCCCAGCCGCTTGCCGCAGGTGCCGCCCA